ACTTTATTGTCTTTCAGGCTTTGCTGATAAAATACATTTTACAGTTAATGAATAAATCTTTCCAAGGCGACAAGTCCAGGGTAGGGTGGGGCTGACTGCAGCACAGACACGTGAGACTCCAGTGTCAGGTGAGACCATCCTGTCACTCGGGACATCCTCCCACCCCCACCCTGCTCACTGAAGGACTCAGTGACCACATCCCAGGAGACACCACGCTGTGCCTCTGTGTGCCTGAAACACAAATTACTTTCAGGTTCTTGCAGTGCCTCACCTGGGTGAGATTTCCTCGTCCTTTGGGATAGTTTTTTCTCCTTTCAAAAGTCTGAAAGAATCCAGAGAACAGGAGTCATTTCTGCCCTTTCCTCTCAAAACAAGTATCCTACTGGCTGAGCACTGATGGGTCTCCATGGAATGGAAGCTCAGATTGGGGAAAGAAAAACAACGTCCCAGGGAGTCAGCTTTTTAGGTGAGGCGTACAACAGGTGACTCCTCTCAGCACCAGGGCATGCCGCTGTTAGGAGAGGCTCCAGCCCCACTCCTCAGGCTGTCCTCTGACAGATGACCCAGGGCTGATACCACTAGACACTCCAGGAGACATGGCTGCTGTGGGCATCCCGGTCATCCCCAGTTTTGAAACCAGGGCCAGGAAAAGACAGGAGGATGGCTGACAACACTTCACCCTGCAGAGTTTCCAAAGGGTAACCCCAACCTAAAGATAATCTGGTAAGGCCTACGTGCCTAGGGAAGATAAAAGGAGGAGAAGCACAAAGACTTTTTACAAGGGATTATCAGGTGATTATTCTTTGCTTTCCTCTCCTGTGAAATGTTCAGAAACAGAAAACAAATATTTTAAAAAGAGTTGCCCACAGCACTGTGGGAAAAAAAATGATCAAAAATTAAAATACTGTGTCTGTGTGAAAAACAGATAAAGGACAAATAGTTGATAACGTTATGAGCTGGAGAGTGGCAGTAGGCATTTCGGAATGTGGGGGAGGAACTGGAAGTTTAGGATTTCCAATAGGCCCTAGAACAGTTAGGCCGGGAAAACTGAATTTGAGCCTTAAATCTAAGACACTGTTTGCCACACATTTGCAAAATGCAAGGAAAACCAGACCCCCTAGAAAGTGTTAAAATAGTTAAAGAGGGGGCAATTAGACTGAAGTGGCTGTACTGTCCTGGGTTCCTACCTATGGAAACCTAATTCTAACTCAAATCCATTTTCTGTAAATTACAACTTGGAGGAAAACAAAACTTAGGCAAACAACTACAAACTGCCAATAAAATTCTGATTACATAACAAGAAAATAGCCACGTGCACAGTCCAAATAAGACCACTACGTAACGGTACCTAATCAATTACTGTAGTTTGCTTCCACTTGCACCTTATAAACGCCTTTCCTTCAAGCCCGTCCAGCGGCCCCAAGACCACAAACCATGTTAAGGGGCTCCTAGATTGACAAATTACCATTTGTTCAAATAAATTCTTTTAAGTTTTCACGCTTCCGCAGGTTAATTTTTAATAGGAGAAAGGAAGTATGGGGACGTCACGGACTCCAGGTTCTCCCACGCACGAACCCCGCACACCGAGTGGAGATTCTCCCCTGAGGGCCCTGCCGTCCCCGCACAGCTGGGGAGACGGGGCTGCCGCCCAGAGGCTCGGGCTGGGCAGAGCAAACGCGGCACAGGACGGGACAGGACGCCCAGGGCCCCCGCTGCCCGCCCCGGCGCGCCAGGGGCGACCCTCGGTCTCCACACTCCGGAGGTGAAGCCGGGAGGCCGCGTCCCCACAGCCGCTTCCGGCCGCCCGCCCGGCCCCCGCCCCCCTCGGAGCGCCGACCGCACGCTCGCCCAGTCCCAGCTTCCGGGGCGTCCCGGCGTCCCCCCTATGGATCCCCAGTACCTGCAGGTCACGGTGACACAGGCTGCGGCGGAGACACCTGGGCCCCCTGGAAATGGTTCCCGAGAGAGGACCCCGGCTCCGTGCCGGGCGGGCAAGAAACAAAGACTCGGCCAGATCCCGGAAGCCGCCTCCTTCTTTCTGGCCGTGTACCTGATTGGACAGCTCTCACCACAGCGCCCCTGATTGGATAAGGCTCTAGGCCCCACCCCCTCTGGCCATGAGTGACAGGAGATGCGATCAGAAGGGGGGCTGAATGAGGCCAGAGTAACAGGTTTCTGGGTGTAGCCCTTTCTAGACAGGGCTTTGCCCCTGCTCTGCCGCCTGGCCTTGCCTGGGGGACATTTGTATTTAATATAAAGGAATATAAATTATATCGTTTTATAAATTTTATGTGTAACATATATACACATACAGTAAATATATGTTATTCAGAAATGGAAATAACATAATAACAATTTTTTAAGGATTGAGATTTTGTAACCTTCCTAGTTACAAAAGTTCAGAAATCTTTTGAGGATGCAGCCTGAGCTTGGAAAATGGAGGCGTCCTCTAAGGCAGCGATGTGCAATAAAAAATAAAATGTGAGGAACATGTGTCATGTAACATTTTCTAGTAGCCACATAAAAGAAAAATAAACAAGTAAAATTGATTATAATCATATATTTAACCCAATGTCCAAAATATTATTGTTTTTATATTTGATCAGTACAAAATTATTAATGAACTTTATTTGGTACTGTATCTTTGAAACTCACTCTGTGTTTTAAGCATGTACCACATCTCAGTTCAGACCAGCCACATTCCAGGTGCTCAGTAGCCCCACGCGGCCAGGGGCTGCCACACTGAAGTGCAGCTCTGAGGGCTCTGACTCCCCACACCTCAAAGAGGTGACAGGCCTGAACATGCTTTTCTGTCAGAGGCAAGGTAACACCCCCTCCCTACCATCATCTGTCCACAGGCCCAAGGGTAGGAGAGACGGCGCCTCAAGAGAGAACAGTGAGCTGTAGGCAGAAGTGTCCACAGTGGTACAAGTAGACCACCACTTGTACCTACTGCTTGGTGGGGGCCCATCCCCCTTCCAGAAATCACACACTGAGCAAAAAATGATGGGGCCCCAGGAGGGGAAAACCCCAAGATTGTGGTTACATAACTTTACAAATACACTACAAAGCATAAGATATACACTTAAAACATGCAATCTCTGTGACTGGTAGCTTGGGTGTGAGATCTGAGAGGTACCTAAAATCTGGTAAGTGCATCCAGGTCCTCCAGGGATTAGTGGTCCCCACATACAGACCCAGTGGCAGGCCTCGTGTTCAGCAACCACACTGGTGGGCACAGCCCCAGCTCCTCCTCCTCCTGTGGCCTGCACAAAGCAGCCAAGAGCTCAGGGCTGGGCTGGGGAACAAGGGCCCTGGAGCCCATGAGCAGCAGTTGGTAAGGGCCTGACTGGTGTCTGCCCTGTGCCTGCGCAGCACTTCAGCATGTTAGCATGGGGCCTGGCACATCTCACAGGGCGCAACCTGCTGGTCTGGTGGCTGTAGAGCATGTGCTGTCAGGCCAGGGGCCCTTCCACGTTAACTTAGAGAAGACATACTTCTGTAATACATAGATTGTTAGGAAAATGTAATGGTGTCATTAGGTAAGAATGACACTTCTCAGTAACACCCACAGAGACAATCTTGCACAGAGATTTTTGGTAGCACCACTGTCCATACTTGGAGAGACACTCAGAGTGCTCTCTTCCCAATTCTAATGCTGCACTGTCCTCTACTCCTTCATCTGCGATTGTCACACCCAGATCTGATGATGATCCTCAAAATCCATCACCACAATGTGCAGGAAGAAGATGGCCTGGGGCTGATGTTCTGTACGTTAGGCATTTTTATTAAAATGTTTATGTGCTTTATTTAAATATTATGATAGAGGTGCAAAACATCTCACACAACAGTAGAGATAGCTATATAATAAAACCCATCATGAATACTACCAGTCAAAAGCTTCAAAAATGTTCATACTTTTGCCATCACTTTCAATGACCAACTCCAGCTATCCCAGTGGCATTTTATTTTATTTTATTTATTTATTTATTTTGAGACAGAGTCTCACTCTGTTGCCCTGGCTAGAGTGCCGTGGCGTCAGCCTAGCTCACAGCAACCTCAAACTCCTGGGCTCAAGCAATCCTACTGCCTCAGCCTCCCGAGCAGCTGGGACTATAAGCATGTGCCACCATGCCTGGCTAATTTGTTCTATATATATTTTTTCAGTTGTCCAGATCATTTCTTTCTATTTTTTAGTAGAGATGGGGTCTCGCTCTTGCTCAGACTGGTCTCAAACTCCTGAGCGCAAACTATCCACCCGCCTCGGCCTCCAAGAATGCTGGGATTACAGGCGTGAGCCACCGCGCCTGGCCTTATTCTTAATTTTAACACATAATTTTAGATTCTAGAAATTGTTTAGAATTCATGATCTACTCAGCAATATAAATTGTGATAGGATCATGAAAGTGACTATAAATTTTACTGCATTAAATTCTGGAGAGGTGGCCAGGCGCAGTGGCTCATGCCTGTAATTCTAGCACTCTGGGAGGCTGAGGTGGGAGGATCACTCGAGGTCAGCCTGCCCCCAGCCTGCCCACCCCCACACACCCAGCCAAGGGCAGTGCTGACCTTGAGCATGAGAAGGTGGGGAGTGTCATTGGGCCCACCTTGCTGCTGTTCAGCTCCACCCGCTAAGTGGCTGTACAGCGGGCGGTGGGCTCCCCTCACTGCCCAGACCACCGTCCAGCTGGCGGCAGCCCTGCATGCAGGATGCACTGGCGAGGAGAGCGCTCTGCCAGGGTGGGTGGGGCTGGGGCCCCCCGCCTGCCCCTGCGTGGGCACTGACCAGCTCATACTGCCAGATGCTGCCCAACGTGTTCCCCACCACACAGGCAAAGCGGCCGAGGTCCAAGGGCACCACACTCTCCATGACCAAGCCCCGCTGCTGGTGCCACAGGAGCAGGTGCACGCTCAGGTGGGAGGACTGAACCACCGCCCCGGCCCAGGCCCCACCCCACCTCCTCTGAGGCCCAAAGATCTGGTCCTGCTACTCGGCCCACCTTGATGCGGATGCCGTGATGTGATACCCAGCATGGAACGCCTTGTAGTTTTTCAGCCAGGAGATGGCAGGAGTGAGGTTGCCGGTGACCGGGCAGCAGGAGCAAATGGCGTGGGTCGCCAGCGTGGCCAGCAGCTTCTTGTCCATCCACTGGGGCTGAGTCCAGTAAGGGCCCTGCCAGCAGAGATGCACATCAGGGTGATAAGAAAGGCGGAAGCAGATGCCCATCAGCCCAGACCCCTCATTCCACAGCTGCCTTTGCCTACCCCCAGCCTCGGTGTCTGCCTTCGGTAGGGAGAGTGTTGGCTTTTAGAGGACTCCTGCCAGGGCTGGACGAGTCTCCTGGAAGCCTCAACGCCGTGTCCCCCATCCCTACCCCAAGTATCCTCAGAGCTGGGCCATATGTCCCCTTGCTTCTACTGCTGAGAGGTCCACAGTGCTCCACCCTGGCCTGGGGGCCTTCGGGGCATAAAGGTGTCTCCCAGGGGAGCCCCCACCCAGCCCAGGAGGCACACCCGGACAGGCCATATAGTGGGGAGGCCCAGGAGCCAGCAGGAAGCCTAGCTGGGTGGATGAGCCAGGACAGGCCTTGGGACACTTGGCCAGGAAGGAGAACTGAGCTGTCTGCATAGCCAGGAGCCTCAGAGACAGAATCTGAGACCTAAACCAGGCTCCGCAGAGCTTCAGGGCCTGGTGGGCACCTGTGAGGATGGCGCCCCCACCTCCTCCGTATCCAGGTGTCCACGGCTGCCACCACCACCCTTCAGCCCGACTGCTTTCTCTCCTTCCTGGGGGCTGCAGTGGGGGCTGCCTTCTTGCTGGGACTTCTGGGGAGGCTGAACTGCCATCCCCCAGGAGGGAGGCACCGGGGACCCAGGTCAGAGAAGGGAGGCAGCCCCCTCCCCCTGGTGACCTTCCTGCCAGCCACCCAAGAGAAACACTCGTCTCTCAGAGGAGGATGCTGAGGCACAAGTGGGAGAAGTGTGGACAGATCCTAAGGAAAGGCACCTCCAAAGAGCCTGAGCTGCCCTCCCAGGCCTCCCGGAAGAGCCCAAAAAGAGGGGCAGAGAGAGCCCAGCAGGCTGTGGCAGGGGCTGTTTCCCAGGCCCGGGAAACTACAAGGACTAACACTGCCCACTGCCACATGATGCTTTCCAAAAGGGGCTCCCCCCCAGTCACCTGGCCCACCAGTGACCGGGCCCCCAGTGACCCTCGCAGCCTGACCCGCCGCTAAGGCAGGAACATCACACACTTGCCAGGGACCACCAGGAGGGCAGGAACAAGCAGGGGCTCAGGGAGAGGGGACTGGAGTGTGTGGCTGGGGGCAGGGCCAAGTGGGCAGCTGAGCTGGGACATTTCCATCCTCCCCTGGGATCTGATCCCCGGGGTGCCCCCAGCTCCGTCTCCCTGGCTGGTTCCTCCCCAGCTCCCTGCCTGCTCACCCCAGAGGGCACAGGGGCTCGGTCTGCACACATCGGTCCCCAAGTTGTAACTGCCCCGCCGTCCATCCCATGATGCCCCTCATCCGCATGTGCACATCTCTCAGCTCCTCTAAAACCAGAAGCCCCAAGTCCCGGACCAGCCCCTCCCTGGCTGGGCAAAGTCCACTTGCCACTGTCCCAGGCCACACCCCCAGGCATTGTCCCCTGACTGCTCTCTCACACCCACAGCCCACACACTGGAAAACAAGCTGCCAGCTCCCCCTTTACAGCCCCACAGCCACCTCCCCTCCCGCTGGGGGGGGGGCAGTCACCTGCTGGTTTTCTTAATCCCTCCTTCCGCCTGCCCCGAAGCAGCCACCTGAGCCCCGGAGCCCTGTTGGACTCACCTGTGGTGGCCATCTCATCCAGGAGTCCCCACTGGCCATCCCTGCCCTCCTCCCTGTTCTTGGGACCCCCAGAGCCCCGTGCCTCAGTCTCCCCATCTGCAGCATGGGTGTCCCCCTCCCAGCCCCAGGCTGCCACCCAGAGCCCAGGCCCAGGTATCCAGAGCCATCACAATGGCCCAGCCCCTCCTGCATCCTGAGAGGACACTGACCTTCCGTGTGACCCCAGGGACAGCACCCCCCAGGCCTTGGTGCCTCACCTGCCTGTTGAGGGCAGGCTGTAATGGGAGAGAAGCAGGTTCCCTGCCTGGCCAGCCCTGAGTGGAGTCTGGTCCCATCTTCCTCAGCTCCTGATGGAGCGAGCACCTGCAGTGCAGGAGAGGGTGCGAGTGGGTGGAAAATGTCCCTTTTCCCCCTCTGGTCCCCACAGCCTCTGCTCCTGCTGACACCCCAACTCCCACAAGGTGCTGAACCCAACCGGGTGCCTCGTGCCGAGAACAGCTCACTGGTCCAGCCCAGGAGGTGCTGAGTCCTGGAGGGGCCTTACTGGGCCTGGGGGGCTTTTCCCAATCACAGTCTTTCTGACTTTGCCACTTACTGGCCCCATGCCTCAGTTTCCCCCACTGTAGCACAAGGTAAAAATACCAGCTCTCCAGCTCCTGGCCTCCACTTTTACTTGATGAGCTGACCCTGCTTAGGGTGTTTTGTGAAAATTTTTAAATTTTCTGGAAATTTTTCTATGGAAAAGAAAAAGAACGAATAAATTTGGGCATAAGGGGACTTGTGCGAGTTCAATTACCTTAACTATGAGAACCAAACAGATCCAAACTGCCTGGTTGAGAGTTTCCACTGGGCCCCACCGAACCCTAAGTGCTCCATGGAACGGGAGAGGGAGCTTGGTGGAGGCTAAAGTACCTCCCTCCTGGATGCCGATATGTCATGTTGACTTCTGATTAACCCCGGTTCTGGGAATGCCTGCCGGATTTTTATTTTATCAACTATTCCTTGTGTAAGAGCACATATTATCATAAATCCTGCCCTTAGGTCAAAGTAACCTTAATGTTATTACACTAGTTGCAGACTATGAAGCACACAGAAATCCTGGAAGGTCAACTGCAATTGTTCTGCACATTAACATGTACACCCTTCTTCCTATAGTATGTAAGCCCTGTATCTGGGGTGTAACAGCGTGGAGAGCCTCCTATCTTGTTGCCACTCATGACCATGCTCACCTGACCATAAATTCCCCAATACATCACCCTCTTTGAAAATTGGATTTGTCTGCCTTTCTTTGGTTTCTTAGCTCCTTCTGCATTTGAGCAGCACTTTGCATGTATGGACCTTTTACACAACAGTTGGTGAGCTGGCCAGCCCAAGCCCACCAGAGCATGGTCGAGGGGAAGAAACTGGAGTGGAAAATCTGCGGAGTCACTCCTCATCTGTCTGGAGTGGTGCTGTCCACTTGTGAGACGCATGTGGACTACTGAGTACAGGGATGCCCTCATACTAGGGAACTTGTCAGTAGAAAACTTCATTAACCACTAGGGTAAGGAAAATCACCATGTGGCACTAACAGTGGATTGGCCCCAATATGACAATAAAGTCATATAATTACTCTAAAAGAACAGGTGACAAGCAAAAAAGACAGGATTTGTATAGGGGATTTCTATACCCTGGAGACATCAGATTTGTAAGAAATAAATTTAATGTACCACAGAGAAAGTTTGCTTTGAGAATTTGTAAGATCTAATTTGCTTGTAAATCATCACCCCTTTTGAAATTATTTGTTTTGATCCACTATTACCATTCATTTCTGAAGATCAGTATACACACATGCATTTCTTCCTCTATAGTTCTCATACACAAAGTTTACTTTTAGCTTGATATATTATTGTATATTGCATTAAATGTCAATTAAAACAAAACATCTCTATGTGCTCGATTGGCCCAGAAAAGGGCCTAGTGCAAAGAAAAAATATTGGGTAAAATTTTATGAATAGTGATTTAGGACATAAAGGTATGGCTACGAATTATACTCCAATATAATCTTTGTTGTAACTACATCAACATCCCCATAGTTAGAGAGAAGGACACAAAATAGTAACTATGAGAACAATATTCTCCAAACTATTGAAAGTTTAGGTCCTCAGGGAAATGGGATTATTAAAGTTATTATACTGTGTTACCCAAATGGTACATTATTTTCATCTGTTAACCACAATCTTGGATAAGATAGTTTAACATTGGTGTCAGAATAATATTTCATTCATTGCACTTCAGTGTTAAACATTAAAAACCATTTAGTATTACTAATGAAAACTAATTAATTAATTAACCCATACCCTAAATAAAGCATTTTAAAATCCACTATATGCTCCTTGGTCAGAAGCACTCAAGAAGCATTATTTTCTGTCTAGTATAGTGATCTTATCCTTTCTTTAATCTTAAAGATTGAGGCTAATTATTTAGTGTACATTGATTTGACTATATATCCAACCTTTCAGATAGGAGTTATTTTCACTTTCATCTGATTATCTGTGAAAACATTTTTATTTCTATTATATCAAAGAACATTCAAGATTTCTACATTCTCTATCACATGGAATAACATTCGAGACTTCTATTTCATTCTACTAAAAAGATATGTCAGTACTTTAACTGATTGACAGGTTTTCCTACTTAATACAGAATAAAAATGCCCTGATCACATATTGTATGCTTACATGCATCATTGTTTCATGATTCAAACACAAAAAGCATCTTTCTTTAGATTTAATTAATGTATTTTACATTTGCCATTAAACTTTCATGGAAGAATAAATATTAATCTCATTCATCTAATATTAAATGGCCTCTCATAGCTCTAATGCAGAAATAACAAATCATATATTTTCACATAAACATTAAGGATGGTATGGCATCAACTAATTTGAGAACTGAATTGTATCAATATTATTAATAACTTTCCAAAAATTTCAAATACTGTCAATACAGAGTACACATGGAATATAATTACACCTGTCCAAACATCAATGTTCTTGCTCTTTTGAAAAAATATGATCAGATTAATTATCTAATTGCTTTGACTTCACATTGTTCTCTACAATAAATACTCAGGATTAGAGAAAAATCTAAAAGTGTTCTTTAGTTTTTACTTGTATGAATACCCTGATGCACTTATACTTAAGTTTTGATTATTCTGCAAATTTATTGGTCCCATACAATTTCTGTCTCTATGAACTCTCTGGTGATTTCTAAGTTTTATATTTGGGATAAAACTCTTTTCACATCTATCACATCTACAGGGTTTCTGTACTATCAATTCTTTGATGTTGAGTAAGGTGTGAACTACGGCTAAAGGCTTTGCCACTTTCTTCACATGTGTAGGGGTTCTGTCCATTACGAATTTTCTAATGTTGAATAAGTCTTGAATGACAGTTAAAGGATTTCCCACATTCTTCACATGTGTAGGGTTTCTATCCATTATGAATTCTCTGATGTCGATTAAGGGTCGAACGACAGTTAAATGCTTTGCCACATTCTTCACAATTATAGGGTTTTTCTCCACTGTGAATTTTCAGATGTCGAGTAAGGGTTGAATGACAGCTAAAAGCTTTGCCACATTGTTCACATTTATAGGGTTTCTCTCCAGTATGAATTCTCTGATGTTCAATATGTCTTGAACGACACCTGAAGTCTTTGCCACATTCTTCACATTTGTAGGGTTTCTCTCCTGTGTGAATTCTCTGATGTTGAGTAAGTTGTGAAATACGGTAAAAGCCTTTGCCACATTCTTCACATCTGTAGCGTTTCTCTCCAGTATGAATGCTCTGGTGTTCAGTAAGGTTCGAATTTCTGTTGAAGGCTCTGCCACATTCTTCACATTTGTAGGGTTTCTCTCCAGTATGAATGCTCTGGTGTTGTCTCAGGCTTGAAAACTGAGCAAAGAACATGCCACAATCTTTACATTTGTAGGGTTTCTCTCCAGTATGAATTCTTTGATGTTTTATAAGGTTTCCTGAC